AGTGGGGGATGGGCAAGTGCTACTGGCATCTAGCAGGTAGAGGTCGGGGATGCTACTGAATCCTACAACGCTCAGAACAGCCCCCACAAAGAATTACCCAGCCCCAGTGTCAACAGTGCCAAGGCTGAGAACCCCTGATCTGGTGAGAAGCAAAAGGGGTGACAGCTACAGCTGTGAGGATAAAGAGAGGAATATTCAGACCAGACAGGACCCAAGAAGCTGTGGAGGTCAGACCGAAGCCAAAGAGAACTCTGAGGTTTCTGGCTGGGTAACTGAGTTAAGTGTCGGGCCAGGAAGCAAGGCTGCCAGGATAAGAAGAGGTGCAAGCTGAGCGTGGCAGGATTCTCACTTTTGAAAGTACACGCTAAAATTTTAAATGGGGGGGGGGGGGCAGAGAAGGAACAGGGATGGCGCCTGCCAGCGTCCCCAGAGGGTATTTGAGCAGCCCCCTAGATTTGTGCTGAATTGAATGCTTGCCCCTCAAGCCAACTATTTGAAGATAAGCAAATAAGCCTCTTTCATAGAAAGTCTGGGTACTTTTCAATTGGCTGCCTCTGTGCCGGGCCCTGAGGCAGAACCTAAATCTGAGGGGAAACAGCTTCATCAAGGATAATACAGTCTGTCAAATACTGAGCCACCAAAATATCTTCCTCAAAATGACAGCAGACAGCCAAGGAAATGAAAAATGTCCTCATTTTCAAAGAGACACTCAAACTTCAAAGCTAATTTTAGAACACAGTGACTTAGAAACAGAGGTTCTAGAAGACTGAGTACTTCTTCAAGATCTGAAGTATGGGCTAAAGAGTGAATCTGTGACAGACCATATTCTAAATACAAAAGAGCTAAAGACACTTCATGTCATTTAGCCTCTCAGCACAATGCTGTAGCTTAAAAAAAAAAAAAAAAAAAAAAAAAAGGAAAAGATAACTCTACACAAAGCAGGTCAGGAAAAGATCCATCCTATGCAGAGATTAAAGAAAATCCACTTCCTCAAGAAATCCACATTAAAATAATCAAAAACGTGGGAAAAGAGAAAGCCAAACAGCAACTCCTAATCTGTTTTATGAACAATAAATAATGAAGCTTTCAGTGGTGTAAAAACTGAAAACCATTTTACTTTAGATATTGATCCTGCAAATACTGTCTGCACTGTTAGTTTCACTGGTGTTCCAAACGGAGACAGAAATCCCACCGAAGGCAACGAGCAGGACCCACCAAGATGGCAGGATCCGTCATAGCTACCCACTACGATAAAGTATTTCACAACAGTGGGCTCAAGAGAAGATCTGGGCCAACAAAACCAGGAAAAGTACTAGAACAATCCACCCCGTGGAATACGTAAAAGCGTGGAAACCTGAAGATGAATGTTTTATACTCTGTTGGGAAGACAACAAGTCTTACTGAGAAGTTGAAGCTCTCCGCTCTTCAGCTACGAAAGCAGTTGTTAAATTTACTGATGAAGGGCAACCACGAAGAAGCACCACTTTGCAACACCGGCCCACGGAAACAGAGGCATGCAGGGAGGAAGGACATACAACCAAACTCCTGAGTTCCGCAGACGAGGTGAAGGCCAAACAACAAGATCCACTCGGCCAAGCCAGCAGTTTCTCCAACCATTCTGGCTTGGCACTAAGACCCTCAGAGTCTTTATAAAGAAAAGGGCCACTGACTGAAACTTCAAGATCCAAACCTGTAGATGGACCTCTTCCTTTCCCTTTAGAAGCAACTGCCATGTGGATGTTAGTAAAGAATGAAAATGTAGATTTTAGGGGGGAAAAAATTCAACCCACACAAAAAGTAGAAAAAAAATATATAGAGTTCAATAAAGCGAATACATTTTACAAGTGAAAGAAAGAATTGTTTCTTCTGCCATCAATAACACCGATGTGCTAATAATATAAAGAAAGAAAAGAAGACATAATTCTTTCTAGCTGAAATGTTTAGAGACATCAAAGTTTCCATCAATGACCCACCTCCAACCCTTAAAGCCATCCTCGTAAGTCAGCCTGGGACTGAGTCGGAAGGGAGTCTTGTGAAGTTCAGAGAAGGGCAGAGAACTCACCTGACAGTGTGGCCAGGGTTCGCTCAGCTGTTCCTCGGAGGGTCTCCCCAGGCTGCCACTCGGCCTGGGGAAGTATCCACACATCCTTGTCTCCAAGCTTCTCTTTGACCAATAGAACAAGGTTCCTGTCTAGCTTCCGGTGCAGCGAGGTTCTGTCGTTCTTTTCATCAGCTTCTGTGAAGAAAAGGGGGTCAAAAAAGACAAGAAGTCTGTGATCTGCCAGAACCAAGGAGAACAGAATTTTACAATCTTCCTTTGAGGCAGACTGTACCTCGAAGCCACAACCTCTGTCCTCTTATAATCAGATTACAACCCTGACGCATCTAATTCGTACCTCTTTCAGGGCAGGGTCTCACAATCTTGAGAAAACTACAATGTAAGAAGAGAAGACCAAAAGCTGAACTTCTCCTTTGAGGAGCACAACACAAAGTTCTTTGAGCCTTTGGAAAAGAAGCTACACCCACACTACTTCAAACACCACAACTTCGCTGGGTTTGACACTATTACTGACTTCACTAGGCCCGACTTTCTCTGTTCTTCAGTCTTCACGTATGAACTAAGATAAGAGAGCTCAATCCTCTGCTTTAGGAAGGATTTCAGATAAAACACAGGAAACTAATGGGAAAGGTTTAATCTCCCTCCCGTTCTCACTCCCAAACTGGAGTTAAACTCAGGTAACATTCATGAAGTTCAACTGAGAGAGAAGAGGCTATCCCACCAGCACCCTTACCTCCCGCTCAAAAATAACAAAGGCCTTTAAAAATGACATTAGCGTAGATGTGAGGAACAGGGAAAATAATTTATTCTTCGCCAACCTGAAAGAAGTTTTGCAATCACTTGTTACTTACAACACAAAGTAACGGCGAAGCAAATGTTCTCTGTCTGGGAACCAAAATACCTAACCGCCCCTTCCCTTGTCTCTTGCTGGCCTGCAAAGACCACAAACCTGTTATGCGAGCTCCAGGTTTGAACTGTAGGAATTTCTGCTCCCATACATCTTCCAAATCCTGCACCAACAGTACATTCTGTCCATCTTCTTCTTCATCATACAAGTCAGCTTTCCTCTTTGCCAGTTGCTGGGCTTCATCCAAAGCACGAAGCTCATGGTCTGAATACATACTTCTCTCTACCTCAATCTGGGAAAATTAAAAGGACAAAAAAAGAAAGCCACAGGCAGAGTAGAAAACAGAGCTGTAGCACGCCTGACAAAGAACTTTACCACTCATCATAACCAGACATACAATCAAAACACCATGGAAAAAGAACCAAAGAAGAAAGGTCACCTGCACTTTGGGCTTGGGCTACATTTGCTAAAATGTTAGAAGGTGACTGAAGGTCAAGCTGCTTCAAAGAACAGAAAACTGGGACAGGCATTTCCTGCCCACTTACTATGCTCCTATCCTATCAGTCTTCTATCAAAATCTCATCATGGATTTTCCTGCCTCACAGAATTTGTACAGGCGCTGTCCCTTCTTCCTAGAATGTTGTCCCTCATGTTTTTCTAAGAAATTCCTGCTTATCCTTCAGGTTTCAATTTAAATATAACTTTCTTGGGGAGATATTCCTTGACACCGCCCATAAAATCAAATTAGATACCCCTGTTAAACCTTTTACAGTATCCTGTATCTTCCTTTATGACACTTAACAAGATCTGCAGTTATACAGTCATGTGATTATTTGGTTACTGACTTGGTCCACCTCCACTAGACTGAATAGTCTGAAAACCAAAGGCATGTCTGTCTTACTCACTACTGTGTGCCTACCACTTAGCACAGTGTCTGTACAAAGCAGGTGGTAATGGATTATCTATAAAATGATTAATAAAGTGTTTGCAGAATAAACTAATAAACCAAGTAAAAAGCACAAACTGAAGTTTCGAACTCTCAGTAGCCAAGACGCAAAACATCTCAGACTCTGGGAAAACAACCTTCAGTCAGTATCTGAGGGGATTTAAGCCCCTCGCAGCCACTACACTGAATACTTGCCCTTGTTTTCTCACTTGGCCCTCAGACAGCTTTGATCGCACCATTTTATCGATGTGCCCACTGCCTTCTCCTAAAACATCACATCAGACTTTCTCCTCTCTAAATTATTGACGACCTAGGAGAGAGACGTCCGTCTTCTTCACCACCGCATACCTAGCGTGTGCAATGAAAAGGGAAACCATTCTCCAAAGAGCTGCCTAACGTGACAATAAAGAACAAGGAAAACAAACTATCTTTTAATGAACGCCTTCTATGCACCAAAACAACCCAAGAAGGTAGATACCAGTGCGCAGGTAAATACCCCGAAGTTCTGAAAGGAGATAAGACTTGCTCAAGGACACTCGGACTAACTGGTGCCGGAGTCGTGATGGAACCCAGGCCCACGTGTCTCTATTGGTTCCCCCAAGAGCCTCCTAGAAGCTGTAAGCTGCACCTCAATCCTACCTGCTGTAGTAGAGCCGCCATCTCTTCCTGCAATGGGGTCAGCGGCTTCGAGACCAACGGTGGCCGCTGCAGGCACAACGCGCCCACCAAGCGCCATGGAGACCCGCTGCTCAAGGGTGCGGCCGCAGGGGCCAGGCTGCGAGAGCCAAGGCTACCGGCCCAGTGCCCCTCGAACCGCCGCCAGCCCTTCGCCGCCTCTAACAGAGTCCGCCTTACGGGCGCCGCCATTCTTCTGCTCTCCCACAAGGTACCGCGGCTCCCCGCGGCATCCTAGGCCAATCCCATGCTCCCACAAGGCAGCGCGGCAGCGGCAAGACGGAAAGAGCTCCGTCCCGGGAACTACTAGAACGAACCATTCCAATATGGGGGGGGGAGGTGAGCAAAGATATCATGTTAGACGATTAGAGAAAAGGGAAGACACTCCCAGTTGGTACTCTAAACTGAAGTTATTGCGGAGTATTTAAACTGGAACAAAAAAATCTTTAACGAACCCTTTGAAGAGGAATGAGATGACTTTCCTTCTAAGCCCCCCCCCAACAAGCGCTCGTGGTGCTGGCGCCGCTCCAGCTTCGCCAGGTTCCGGGGTCGCGCGGACGGGAGCTGACAGGGATCAATTCAAGTCATGCAGGTGGTTCGAAAGACGGGGTCTTGGCTCTTGTGGTCTTGGGCTCGGTCACCGACGCCCGGGTAAGAATGATCACCCCCTCCGAACCCACCTCTACCCCCGCGACTGCGCTGCTGCCCGTGTCCCTGAGCCGCCCGGACTGCAGTAGCCGTTAGGCCTGGACCTCACCGAGATTTCCTTCCCCGCAGGGTCGTGGCTGGGGCGCCAGCCTCCACCATCCGCACCGGCGCCCGGCAGCTACAAGATGCGGCGGCCAAGCAGGAAGTTGAGGAGAAGGCGGCCGCCCCGGCTCCGAGCCGCAGCAGTTTCAGGTGAGAGCCACTTAAGTCTAGCCCACGGAAGACCCATTCCACCGACCAAAGTCAGAGAACCAGTCAATCCCCTACTCTGCCACTTGCCATCTTTGGGACCTTATGCAAATTAATCTCTCAGACTCAGCTTTCTCGCCTACGAATGGAAAGGATACCGAGAGACGCTGTGAGGATCACATGAGATGCGCCTGGGCACAAAGTGGATGCTCTGTTAACAGTCTGATGAATGAATGAGTGAAAGTCGGAGGTGTAGAGTAGATGTCACCTTGTTTCCCTCTGAGGGGTATCCCGGCAGACTAACAGTTTTCCCTGGGCTCGGATACAAATAGAAAGCGGAGGAGCGGGGCGGGGGGTTGGGGGGACAGGAGGCTCTAGGCTGTTGGTGCAGGGTGGCTTTTGTGCTGAGCCCTAGGGATTGGCACCTTGCTTTCCATCAGTGCCACCACCCCTGTGTGCCATCACATGCATTTAACACACGTTTACTGAAAACCTATTTGGTGCCAGGCACTGTGCTAGGTGCTGAGAACACAAATACAAAAGATCATTCTTCCGTACAAACAGTTCCCAGAGTACTAGGGAAGACAGATGTGCAAGAATTTTCAGCGTAATGTGGTCAGTAGTGTACTGGAGGTAAGAAATGGTTGCTTGGAAGTGTGAAGGAAGAGATGTCCCACTCCTGAGGAAATCAGGCAAGTACTGCCAGGAAGATAATATGGAGCTAAGAACTGAATTGAACGGGAGTTCAGCTGGACAATGTGAAAAGGATCATTTTAGGCAAAGCTAATATTCTGGGTAAAGGCATCAGTACGAAAGAACGTAGTATGTTCGGGGACAGGGGAGAGTGATGGCAGAGGAGGGCAGCAAAAGAAGGAGTAAGAATGCTGAGGTCTTCTCTGTAACAGTGGGGCTTTCACCCTGAGCTGCTGAAAGAATTTAAGCCAGGATCCTGCTGGAGTCTTTCAGCAACATCAGGCATTGTTTGAGGTGTTGGGACACATCAGTGACCAAACACCCCAAAACCCTGCCCCCATAGAACTTAAGTTCTAATGGATAGGGGACCAATAAATAAGAAATACGTACAACATGAGGGTATGACATGGCGAGAGTGTGTCTGTTGTCCAGGAGGAAGAGTAGGAAGGTCAGTGTGGAGTGAGGAATAATGCAAGAGATGGGGGAAGGGGGTGAGTGGTGCAGCAGGCACGCAGGGCTGCATCTGTATGGCCTTGTAGGACTTCGTGAGGACTTCAGTCTTGACACTGAATGAGTTGGGAAGCCGCTGGAGAACTTTGAGTACAGGGTTGACATGATGTTTCTTCATTTCAAAGAGTCCCTTTGGCTGCTGTGTTGATATTGAACTATAGGGAAGCAAGGATGGAAACTGGGAGGAGTCCTGTAAGCTATTAGAAGATTATTGAAATAATCCAGGCAGGAAATGATGGTGGCTTGGACCAGGATGACAACTGTCTGGGTGGAACACACAGAAAGTGACGCCAACGGGATGTGTCCGTGTAAGGTGTGAGAAAAGGAGAGGAATGAAGGAACGCTGTAAAAATTTTTGGCCTAAACGGCAGGAAAGGTGGAATTGTACCTAAGACAGGAAGATTGTAAGAGTTTGGTTTTGGGGGGTTATGTTTGAGGTGCTTAATTAACATCCAATGGAGATACAGTGTAGGCTTTTAGAAATGGAGTTCAGGGGACTGCTGGAGCTAGAGACACACATTTAGGAGATTCATCGTATAGATGGTGTTTAAAACCACAAGACTGTACAAGGTCATCAAGAGTATAAGTGTTGGGGCGCCTGGGTGGCGCAGTCGGTTAAGCGTCCGACTTCAGGTCACGATCTCGTGGTCCGTGAGTTCGAGCCCCGCGTCAGGCTCTGGGCTGATGGCTCAGAGCCT